AATACAGGGCGATAATATTTAGTGGCAACAATTTGAAATCTGATTCGGCCATTTTATGTGATTTGAAGTAAAATGACGTTTCCAGACTAATAGCCCTTTTGGTCTACTAAGAGTAAAACAGTCTTATTCCAAAAGCCAAGCTAAAAGACTGAACTCGAATTCCTGTAAATTTTGTTGAACGAGAAAAATTCGAAATTGAAAGTTTTGCTGGAGACAAAATTCATCCCCCGAGGTTACTTAAAATATCACCTCTTACCTAGTAATGCCGAACAGAAATTTCAATGCTGATTGATTATTTTTCTTAACGAGTTCTAGTCAATGAGAGTATCTGTGTATGTAGAGTACATCGTAGACAAGCAACGTCTTTTTAAGTGTTATTCTCGATCTAATTTTACGAGGATGAATAAGATTAAAGAATTTATTTTATAAATGTAAATTTTACTTTAAAATTGCACGTAATATTAATTTTATTTAGTCACTTACTAGTTATTTGTTGTATTACTTCATTTCTGGTATACATCTTCCCTTTCAAAGTATCCAGTGTGAGTCATTGATCACAAAATGTTTAGCGAAAGTACAGTGAAAATCCCGGTTCATGAATGTTTTATAGATTTTTAGGGATTACTCTTACGATTTCATGATTTTTTTGGGGGGGATGGGATAAAATTGCCGCCATAAAAATGGTTAAGTATAGTTGCACAAAAGGAATTAAATTGACAAGTAAAGGAAAAGGAATTAAGGTGATGAAATTAAAGTTGATCTAAAATATTAATTGGAATTCGCTTATTTCCGGCTGCAGATAAACCTACGACATAGAAGAAGCGGAGATTTAGTAGCACTGAGTTTTATGATCAGTCAGGGAAATCAGATTAGAGGATGGTTAAGTGAGATTGAATTAGGAGGCGCACAGAAGATAGTTAAAGGGACCAAGAAATATACATGCCCGAACGGGTAAGCTAAACTATGGAGGGGCTAATAGATATTGATCTCAATTATTCACAAGGTTATGTAACCAGTATCATAAAAACCAAACATTCAATGTTTGTGCTTTCAAAACTCTATTTTCGCAAGACAGGTATTTCGAAGTAAAAATTGCAATGCATCTTGAGGAGTGTCGAGACATTAGGCATATTTTGAAAGCATGAGAGATGAAAAATGAGAAATGCCCTCTCCGAGACTCGAACCACGGACCTCTCGAATACGCACCGAGGTTATTTTAGACCAATACACCACGAAGGCAAAGTAAGAAGGCGGGAGAAATACCTTAGATACCCCCCTTTTAAAGGGAGACTGCGGATTAGAGGATCAAATCGCCAAATCCTGGGGGGTGGAGAATCATCATCCACCATCTTCTTTAGTTCGGGCGCGTGTTGACCATTACACCACGAAGGCATGCTTAGAAAGCGGGAGAAATACCTTAAAGGGGTTAAACATTTTAACTTCTCATTTTTCCAATATGAACTCGAGTCTAGCCCTTGCAAATTAACTGTTTTCTGTCTATTTCAAAAGGAATCCCAATAGAAAATCTACAATATGTAACGGCATGTGGATTACATATCGTTACCTTAGTAATACATAGCAAGAAAGGGTTGTTTGGGAAAGTTTATTACAGAATACCTTTTGAATTTAGTGCTTAGCAAAACCCAAACGAATTTGAATAAAGTTTAACTTTCAGGCTTAAAAAGAACAATTGATATTTATCACTTACACAGCATTTTCAGGCTTACCTTTCACTAACTGTTGACAACTTTTATTCACTCATTTTCTATTGTTGTGCATTTAGGAAAATCAGCGTCCCTGACGCTGTTTGTTTCTACAAAACTCAGCGTGTCCATCTCTTACTTCGTGCTGCCGTTGTGGACTGCCGAACTACTGCCCCAGGGTCTGCGAGAAACGGCCCTAGTCGTGGCGGAGATCGTCAGCCTCACGTGCCCCGTCTTCCTACCTTTGCTCATATATCAGGTAAGATATTTAGCTTTTTATGTTCTTCCAAGAGTGAGTGTGTGTGACGTCCATCACCATATCCGTCTGAAACAAAATATATGATATTTAGTAGCTCCATGTAAAAACTTCTAAAACATGTATTGGTTGTTTTTAAATGTTAATCATACTTAAACTTTAAAGAAACTAATAATGAGCAAATAAAAGTCAGTGTTAAGCTACTAAATATTCATGACTCTAATTTCGAAGTTCAAATAGAAAGTCCTCTTCAACTGTAGGAATGATAAGGGCGTCTGACAATATGTTAATGACATCTGTTAATTTTAGTCTAGTAGGGTTTCTTATGTTATATTATTGAGAAACAGGCTAAATCATTTCATCTCAACAAAGAAAAAACGTACAAGATATACAACAATTTTACATATAACTTCACTAAAATTATTTATATATATATATATACAAAATTTGCAGGAACAGTTATTTCTTTTTTTTTTTTCATCCATCACCTATAAAATATTACGAGTATTTTACATAAGTTTCGTTTTCTTATGCTACAATAATTCATTGCTTAAAGATCCCATTCTAGATATGATATCTTGTAATGCATTGTTTTTCTCTTCAGAACTGCTGAATATACATCAATCAAACAAATAGAGCCTTGAAAATCTGGACTAAACAACACAGAACGTACGTTCGGGGGGGGAGGAACTCTCTTGTTGTAAATCCTCCATTGCCTATCATTACCTTCAATAAATCACATTTTCTTTTCCTCTGCAGCCAAAAGTATTCAAGGAAGCGTCTTCCATCAGCGAATTAGATTTCCTGGAGTGAGTCCAGATCACTAACAATGTTTCTGATCTAGTTAATGAACGTAATTTGTGTAACCAAATAAATCCTTCAGACTAAATTGCTTGATATTAAAATCAATTTACTGCAGTATTTTGTTTTGCAATATGATTTATTTCTCTTTTATATGCTTTTTGACTGCTCACAGATTTATAGTAAATTTAAATTAACCTCCTATTTTCATTTTAAATTCAGCCTTTCATCTTTCAATATTAGGCTTCGGAATATTTAGTTTATGGCACCCACCCGAAAATGAGATAACAGGAGCATGAGTAATTGAAGGGAGTAAACCCTTAACCCTGTAACTTTTAGCTTACTGGAAAATAAAAAATTAATCGAAAGAAATTTCACAGTTCAAGAGGATGCTTTCCCATTTTAGTAAAAGGTAGGAAAATTTGCAATACATTCAGCAGAATACGAAAGATGTTATTAAGGAAGTGTATGCATTACGGAGTTTTGGAATGTTAAAAAATTTAATTACGTATAATTTAACTAAGTAGATTTAACATGTGCTAGCCAGGTTTTGAATTATTCTGGATATGTAACATAAATATGGGCAGTTTCTCTTAGAATGTCCTCACTTAAACATCTCTTTCCTTAAGCAGATAGCAATCGCGTGCTTTGCCATGCTCAAATGCACTCTTAATTTTAGTCCTTTGCTCGCCAACTTCTCACTCTCTCCTTCTTTAAATTTTAGTGAGGCTAGTGAAAGAAATCGAAGTACTAAAAGAGATTAAACGCACAGAAAAATAATTTTAATTAACTAACTGTGGGTACAAAATTCATAAAAGCGATAAAAAATATATTTTCTTGCTGTGAAACTTATTGCAATTGAAATCTCATTTTCTTTCGACACCATGATGTACTTAGAATAAAAGTTAAACGAGTTATTTAGGAATACCACGTTCGGGGGCTTAAAAAGAAAATTCTTTTTGTATTTTATATTCTACTACCCATAATGATGACTTGTTAGGCCAACTGTGGTCCTCAATATCCAGGTTTGATTTTTGTTAATTCACTTAGCTTTCATAGTCTCAGAAGTAGATTTCAATGGATTTATGTTGAATATTAGTATGTTTAAATACATATAATGAACAATATTTTTGTATATTTTCGCTAATTTATTTTGTTCCTTTAAGGGACGCACACTGCACAGCCTTCCAATGACTCTTATAGGAGTTCTACAAATCCTAGGGGGCCTAGTAGCATTGGGATTGCCTGAAACGCGTCTCGTAAATTTCCTTAACCAACCAGCTGTGGTGCCGGCACAGTGTGCGGAACCATGGTCAGCCCATAACTGTGGTCATTGCTGTAACACACCCAAGTAAGTAAAGCATCACATATTTCTAGTTTCAAGTTTTTAAGCTGTACTTTTTTTACCATATTAGGAAAGAAAGTTTTTTTTTTCCTTTACGAGAACAAAAGATTATTTTGCAATATATTTCATTATCACACAAAGTAATATTTTGATTCGCAGTCTTAATGCAACAAAAAGTTTTCTTTATTGTATGACTTTTTCACATTTAGTGGTGAATAATAATTTTTCGAAAAATACACTCATATCTGGCATATTAAATAAATTACAATAACCCGGATATGCTGACTGCATTCAGAATTGTGACTACGATCTACAAGACCGCTTCAAAGTTACGTGTTATCTAGGCAAATGCAGTTTCGACACTAATCAATCAGAACTTTAAAATTAACTTCACTCATTTTATAACAAATATTTCTTTTCAATGTATTCATATAACAAGCATAAAGGAACAAAGATTTATATGCAATTCCAAAATACGGACCTGCTTAAAATCTGTAGAAACACATAACTTGTTCTTTTAAATTCGTCAGAATTTGAGTGCAAGTTCTTTAAAAATTAGAATAATTTATGAAAATAATTAATATCTATATTGTATTGCAATTTTTGAAAAAACACATGAAGTTACAATATATGTAAATCCTTTGAATGAATTTTTGTCTTAAGTTTTCTGAGGAAAATTCATACACTACTCCTTTAAAATCTAATTTTTAAAAACATCATTTTGATATTAATAACTCACTTGTGATTTTCTATTGCATTTATGTTTGCCCATAAATTTTAATCCTTTGATCGGCAAGGCCGTATATATACGGCGTAGAATACTTTTTGTGATGTTTGCAAGTACGTATTTCAAGATGCGCATATATATATGCATCTTGAAATATATCCAAGACATTAAGCCACTATATTAAATACAGGTAAGAAGTACCAGAGGAATTTTTGTATTAAAATACAAAATGCCTTTTCATCAGGCAGTTCGCAAAAATTTGGGCTTCCTTAGCAAAACCCCGTGTCACTCAGAGGGTTTTAATCAGTAAGATTATCCGCTTAATCCTCGTAAGATTAAAGACGAGTTATTGCTACGTCTTGTCCAGCCATCAAGAGCGCAAATTTACAAAAAGAATAATTATAATAGGAGTTTATTTATTCTTCAAGTGGAAGTAGCTAACTAAAACGCTAACAAAACTAAATATGAATGTCTTTCGTACTAAGAAACGCTAATAACGTTAAATATTAATAAAGCATAGCTTCTGGCAGAAACTTAATGACGCTGCTCCAAAAACAAATTTCTAAAGTTGTAATCAATCTTTTAATATAAACTGTTGGACTAACTTTGACAACAAGGCTGCCCTCTGGTGAGTAGCCAGAGAAGTGCTTCAGTGAAAGTCAAGTGTCCCACTTGATAGGTTGTACCAGACTTTTGCTCTGTAATTTTTCTTAAAGTTAAATGTAATATCCATGTGTAACTTAAACCTGTTAATAAATACTAGTTTACTATACAGGACTCTTCTATGACCCTATCTACACTTTGTGAGGGGTTGTTTTAGATAGGGTCATAGAAGAGTCCTGTATAGTGTAACAAGTATTTATTAAAAGGTTTTTAAGTTACACACGGACATTATATTTAACTTTAAGAAAAATTACAGAGCAAGAATCTGGTACAACCTATCAAAGTAGGACACTTGCCTTTTGCTGAAGTACTTCTCTGGCTACTCACCAGAGGGCAGCCTTGTTGTCCCAGTTAGTCCAACAGTTTATGTTAAAGGATTGGTTACAAAGTGATCGATAGATAGATTATGTTTAATCAACAAGCGAAACATTGAAATGTATGGCAGTACGTGATGAGTTGTAAACTTACATTCTCGCTCGCTATTTAAATTCGCTTCTTTGTATTTCTGTTGGCATTGACTGAAAATGGTAGAAATACACTAAAGTTCAACGTAATAAATAATGTTGTTAATTGAATGAATATAGTATATAATATTTTTAATTGAAATAAACCTTACAAATTTTATTTTCTAAAATTATTTTCTTCCTATAATAAAGCTTAGGTAATCCAGCTTCGATATTTGTAATGCTATAAAATTTTATTATTATCAGTACAAAGTTTTGATGCTTGCTTGGGGCAAATTCATAACATGATAGTAGTTTGATTTTTTTTTTATGTCTCTTGTAATCATTATAGTGTTAAACATCAAATTACTCTTCCGCAACAACAGTATTTGTAAAACTGAAAATATCCAAAACTTGTGGCATTTGCGAACAAGATAAATGTTTATAGAAGTAATACCACGTAAAACGAAGAAAAAAAAAACTGCATTGTTTTTTATAGTCGTTAGACTTCGTTCAGATTTACTTATAAGAAACCGCTTACATTATTACTATTAAAATGTTAGAATTCTATCGGAAACTAATTTTCTTACAAGTTATTGTTCATTTGTCTATTGAGATTCTCATATTGAGATATGCTTTCTCTTTTCAAATTTTTATATTTTCAGAAATGTAAATATATTTCAAGATTTTACGAAAGGTTCTTAGCTTCTTCCTTTTATGAAAAACTGATTATTTCTATTTGATTTTTAAGGATATTGCGTTTATAAATATAACATCAGCATTTATGTGTTGCAATAGCTTATTTACGAGAAGAGACATTTAACTCATCGTTGCAATTAGTAGTGCAATAAATACATTTATAAGATGTAAGTCATACTATGATTAAAGTCTTTGAGAAATGTTCGTTTAAAATATCGGCAGGAAAAATTGTTTACAAACTTTTTCAGAAGTTTTTACTGCTTTAATTGGCATAGAGTAAAAATACGTATTTTATTTCCTTTTACTGTTTGCATATAAATTCGTTTTTAATAAAGAAATAACTGTTGTTTGCCATTTTCGAAAAATTGAAAAATTGAGTAACTGACGTTGAAAACATGTATTACACGCATAATTAATAATGGTAATTTGCGCTTGGAAATACTAATTTTCCATGCAGTTGGGAAAAACAGGCAGCATTATAATTTTTATGAATTAGTTTTATATACTGTGTCCCCCTATACGGTCTTTATTTCCATCCCGGAAAGTTATATCCCAATCTTTATTTTCACTACAGCTTGTTGTAGAGAAGTATGCCCAGTTACAAAAAATATTTTAAATCGCGCAAATATTCATGTTATTTTATTTAAAATTTTAAAAACAATTCAGTATTACAATAATTACTCAAACTAAATTTCGTTACTGTCATTCTATCCATGTAGATATATTTAGTAAAATATTTTCTTTTTCCTGGAAACTAGATACTATAAAGTTTGATTTCTGTACAAATGTGACAGAGTTGTGCAGTAAACACAAATTAGTCCTCACAATAATCTTAATAAAGACGAGGACCTACGTGCCGCTTGGCGGTTTTGGCCATAAACTGAGAAAATTTCTTTCAGATCGGTTATCCGTTTCTGACGCTAATTAAAACAAGTGCTATCACGCTGCTTAGACAATGCTGTTACGCTTAGAAGGCAATAAGTATGGACATTATTTGCTGAACTTTGATAAATTACCATATCATAATTGCTTCAGGAAAGAAATATACAAGGTATCCCATAAGCCGAGAAATGTCGTAGAAGAATTTATGTTTACTACAAAAACGACAAGTCCTCCAACAAGATATTTTAACTTTGATAAGTGTGGATGATTCTTTTATCTGTTGCAAACCAAACAGCACCAAAAGAGACAGATATGAAGAAATTTATAATGTTTTCTTAGACAAATACCAAAGGCTAGTGACGGTGGCTGTCTTACCGAAGTAAAATTTAATACTAATTTTTTTTTTATCTACTCAGAGTTGCTCGTCATTTTCAGAAGAGTTCCTATTTGAGTGGTAGTTGTGATGGCAGAGTTTATTGTATTTTGAATATGAATATAAAAACATATAATATATTCTGATAAATTTATGAAAACCAGATTAAAGGGGAAAATAAAAATGATCATGTCTTATTAAACAAAACAATTTTTTTTAATTTGATGGATGTGATAAAACTTAAACAGTTAATTATCAATGTTTTTATCTCAAAACGAACACAAAAGGCAACAAAATATATTACTTCTTACTTTCCATATTGTTATTTATTTTAAAATTGCAATTAATAATCCACTGGGAAATGACGGTTATAATGCTTGCTGTTTATACAAATCAGATATATGGAAAAATTCTGCGTTATGTGATTAATTTTGTAAATATGTTATCTTCAGGTTTTGAAGATAACATATTACTTCATAGCCTCCACAGCACAGAAGCTGTGGATACTATAAATTTGGGATACTGACGGTTCATCGACAAGTTCTTTGTCGTAAAACGGCTTCAAAAGTTGCTCACCGATGCTCCGTAATGAACTTATTATTCAGGGGTTTATTTTTTTTTTGTACAGCTTTCCTTCCCTAAGTCGAAACTTAGAACAAATGCGTCAATGTATTTTAATTCAATCTCTTTTACTTATGACAAGAACGCTTTCATGAAGACGAGCTAAATTATAGTAGTAAATATGAAATTAATTTGACTTATAACTTTCATGAGAAAATTAAAGTTTCTTGCTACGTACCGTCAGTAGTTTAACAGTAAGGCTAAACTATGAAAACAGGTCCACGCCAGCTCTCCTAGTTCGCTTATAAACCCGGCTGCCCTCGAATGGAGTCAGTTTCAAGAGAGATAAAATTGTGATTCTCTTCATATTTTTGAATGTTAGAAAAATATATACTTGAAAGTCTTAATTCCTAGAATATTAGGGGAATAACCAAGGCGCTCTAGTCCCGTGGTTCTGAACTTGTTTTACCTCATGCACTCCCTTCAGCTCTGCTAGCAGATTCTCCTTCCTTTCTTTCCCAAACCTTGAAAAATATACATTTATTTATAGCTATATATGCACATTTATATACGTATACAATATATAATATTTTATTATATTATATTATATATGTGCATTTATTTAGATTTATAATAATATTTTTAACATGTTTTATAAATTAGAAAATAAGTAGAGAAAATTACGATAAATACTGAAACTTGAATGAAAGGAGTTTATGAACTAAACCTAAATACATAACAGCTAAATAAAAGGCTGAACACATCCTCTGAAGCTATGAAATTCTTTCCAGGAGGTATTCACCCCCTTCCTTGCATGCTAATGAATCAACGTAAGCCAAGAATTTTAACTAACGCTTTAAATACATGTCTAATATAAATGTGTTTCCTTGAAGGGGCATTTTTTAATCTATCAACTGGAGTTATAGGAAACCTTTTGTATGCATTGAGCAACTGATACGTTTCATTCATTATACGTATATTAGTTTCTGGAACACATTATAACAGTTTGCTTTCATTCTTTTAGATGCAATCCTAGAAATGGTTTACGAAACTCCAATCCAGTTCCCCAGTCACCAATATTTAGGTAATTATTTACCTTAGTTTTTCAATGATTTTAGAATAGATTTTAAAAATAATTATCATAACAAATTCATAATGATTTAGAATAGATTTCAGAGCAAACCACAGAAATAAAATAATTTACATAATAACAGATTTAGAAAGGATTTTATATGATATTATCGAAATGCACTTACATAACATAATAGTGCTAAATAAAGTAAATATCCTAGTGACTTAGCAAATTACATTCATTTGCTATATCATACGGCATTTAACATGCTTTTATAAAAACATAATTATGTTTCAAAGCAAAGGAATTTAATTGTAACAAATATAATAAAAGAAATACTAAAAAACGTAAGATTGAAACAGCTAAAAATAAACATTACGGAAAAAATATGAATACATTTGTAGGACTCTAGTTCTTAATGTTAAACATAACGTTTTGTACAACTGCGGAGATGAAAATGGCGATTGAGGTATGTGATTATAAATGTTAGAAATGAATTCTCTGTCTCCATCTGTCATACAAAATATTAGCGAGAATTCATACTAGAACGATATTGTTAAAATCTGATGGTAAAATGGGATTAGCAATCAGATAATTAACCAGAAAAGATACATATTTACAGATGTGAAACGGCTTCAGGAAAGGTAATTCGCCAACGAAAGACTGATTTCGTTAATAAGTGGCTTATGTTCTTTCCGTAGGCAAGTTTTCTTTTCGTCAATTTTAGTCTCGCAACTGAGATGCTAGTTTTTTAACTCCAGTTCTATAAATAGTTAACGAAAAATCAATGCAATGCTTTAGTCACCAATATTTTGTTAGTTACTTACCTGAAACGTTCATTTATCTAGAACGGATGTTTCAAGATTTTTCAGCCATAACGGTGATTTTATATCGAATTATAACAATAAAGTAATCATTGATTCAGAATAGATTTTTAAAACAAATTATTAAAGTAAACAAACAAATTTGTAATAAATAAACTAAATATATTAGTGCATTAACAACTAACCGACAGTAGGATTTCAAGGTATGCGTACCTTCTTCTTCTTCTTCTTTTTTTTTTTCCAGTATGATCGTGAAAAGAAAACAGAAAACAACTTCAAAAAGGAAAATCTGAGAGTTTTCAGATTTTATATTACGTCTAAAGGCGCGTTTTTTATCGTTTGTTTTGCCTTTATTTAGAAATATCATGTTCTTCGCACTTAAACCATAAAATTCAATTCAACAGCGATTTCACATAATATTTAAAAGAGGATAACTTTAGAATTCCCAACACACACTCTCACGTGTAGGAGCTATTTTTTTTTAAATCTTAAACTTTAGGGTTAGTTTAAGTTTCTTAGCTTAAGCCGATTTAGGATTAGTTTAAGCTCCTTTGCTTAAGCCGATTTAAGGTTAGTTTAAGCTCCTTAGCTTAAGCTAATCGTAAATTGACTGCGCGCAGCTTAGTTCAGCCGAAAAATATCAGTTTAAACTGAAAGGGGTCGAACACCGAACTAGAGAGCTAATTTTAAACTCGCAGCATAAACATCGGAACTTGATCCGCTACTACTACCCTTTTGAACACCAGCAACGCAACAGCTTAAATACAATTTCTGAAACACGTTGAGAATTTGCATCTTGTCATACATAATTTACATTCCGGCAGGAAACTTAAATCAGGATTGACAGTAAAGTTAAACTAAAAATAACTGGTTAGAATAAAATTAATCCTTACAATATTTCCCGCCAGAATTTAAGTATTTGAAAATAAGGTCTGTAAATGAAATGTTTGTTAAAATTTAAATTCTAAACTTTCAAAGACAGCCTTACTATATAAATGCTACTTAAATACTTTAATTTTTAAAATTTAACAATAGAAATTCCAAGAACATAATTTTCATCTTTCAACATAATTTTCATCAACATAATTTTCATCTTAATTTGTTGAGATTCATGTCTTTTCAATGGGTCTGGAAGGAAACTAATATTAGTTGAAGATTTTGATAATACATGTATTTGAATAGGCAATTTATGAATTTTCATTTACATTTTCCACAAGTTTAACATTTTCCCTCCACCAGCTGTATAGCATATGCATGTACTGAATTTTCATCGCACGTGAAAAATGGGGTTGATTTAATAACAATATCACCACCTGAGCGACAACCTACACGCACTAGACTTCTAGACTTTAACGGACTCACTAGACATCAACGGACAGCCTATTTTCAAACACATCCTATATTCAATATTCGTTAACTTTGTGTTCTCCGGAGAGCGCATTTAAAATACCTAAACTAGCTTTCAAATTTTCCTCTTGCTAACTTTTACATTTCACCAAATTTTAAATTTCTAATTCTGCATATTTTTCCAAATTTTTTTATAAACATTACACATTCTTTTCATTCAGAAACAGACATATACATTAAAATAGTGTTGAAAAATACTATATATATAAAAGTTTTCAGTTTCTTACATCCAAAATTTAAACAAAGTTGTTAAGAATAAATCATTTTATCTCGTCAAATTGCATAAAACAGTCTCTTGACTAAACGGCGTAATTCTTGAAACGAACAAAAATTTCATAGATAAATTCATAGATAATAAATTTTTCCGCTACTAGCTGCAACAACTTATAACACCTCGCTTGAGGCAAAAACAGTTAGATAAATCTTAACAAGCACTTTGAATACTTTTTCAGGCATACTGAATACTTGAAAAATGAAGTCAAATTTTACTTATCTTTTTTAATTGTTTTAGTCTGTTATGTGTTTCTGGACAAACGTCTCCCACGAAGGAAGTGTTCTTGTCGTTGCTACCTACTGACGTCTGGATGGCCGTTGTTCATCAGGTACGGGCTCGAACTTCCTTTTCGAGCACGCTCTTCTATCCGCCTTGACATCCTAGAGAAATTATTCTCCTGAGATTGTACTTTCCTTCCCTGGGAACACGTCGTCCGGGGTTTGCGGTGGAATACAGTCCGTTCTGCTGTATGTTCGCGTTCGTCCAGACATTGCCGCTTGCCGGAGAACCCTCTTGTGTCTTCCGCCGGCTGCGGTTGACTCGTGCCCGCTAGAAATCTGGTTGTTGTCGTTGCTTCATAAAGCATTCCGGCTTTCCTTTTGCAGACCGCTGGTGGAACTCTGGTAGCTTTCGTTTGTTCATAGAGTGTTGCGGCTTTCCTCCCGCCGATCGCTGGTTAATTTCTTTATATTCGACATCTGAAACTCCGGAGAGGGTCTGCGCATGTCGCGTCCATGTTGCTTGGTTTAATCTAAGTTATTTCAGTACTTCTCACCACCATATGATAATGAGGAATACCCAAAGCTGAAGACTTTCCAGCTCATAATTCCTTGTAAACTAAAATCTTATATTCTCTTAATTAGGTGAAACCCAATAATGTGGCCTCCAGAAGAAAGAATGCGCTCTGTCTTACAATCCGAAACGTTCGACAATACTCTCAAAACTGATTTGCATCTTCGTGAGGAAACGGAAAAGGTGTGTGTGTGTGTGTGTGTGGGTATAATTACGGCAAAGCCTCGAGGGCTATCTGCCTAAGAGGAGGGATGCCTTCGTGGAGGACTTTCTAAGGGAAACTGGCTCGTATACACGTTACACATGGGGAAAACCACGAAAACGCCCATGCAGCCAGCCCGTTCACGGGATTCGAACCTCGGACCGAACTACCAGTGTTCAGCGACTTTACCGCTCGGCCGCTGGTGGGCGAAACGGAAAAGGAAAAGTTAGACAGTAAAGATCATAAACCATAATAGTTAAACTAAATCATAATAAATGGTTAGTTAAAATAATAAATAACCTGAAAGGTTTCAGATTTTAACTGTCACCCGAAAGGGCATGTTATGGTTTTTTACGCTCTCGCTGAGATCGAAGTCTACCAGTCTGATGTTATACTCACTCCTACTAACCCATTTTTATTAAACTTTTGTGTGTTTATTTTATTTACTAAATATCACGTTCTTGGCACTTACACCACATAAAATTTTAATTCAATAACAAAACCGCAAAATATTTAAAAACAGGATATTTTCAGTATTTCCAATAAACAACCTCGCGCGCTTGTCATAAAAATGTTTTATTCCGTACAGTGTTGCTACTGCTCGCTTTGAACCGTTGAGTTTTTCAATAACAAATTTGTTCAAGTTTCGCAAAATATGAAATAGATAATAAAACAAATTCAAAGCACAAAATTCGGGCTTCCAGGTGCCCATGTTATGATGGAGGATTACGTTGTTCAAAATTTAATGGTTTTAGGTACCGTCGTTTTTTACAATGCGAGAAACATATAATACATGGCTATAATATTTGGTGGCAACAATTTGAAAAGAGATACAACGCATTTAAGTGTTTCGACGCAAAACGCCGTTTTGAAACAAATATCCCATTCCAGACTAACGTCCTTTTTGGGCTAATAACCTAAAACTTAAATTCTAAAGATATCCGATACTAATTCTAAAGGTATCCGATGAAAAATATTTGTAACTTCCACGAACCAGATTGTTTATCAATTGGTGAAGCGTTAGATATTTAATTTTTGTTCTAGATGCAATCTGCTTGTTACTGACTAAGCAATTTTAGAAGCAAAAGCTGTTCCTTTTTTCTGGTTAATTACTCGCTGGACCAAAGAAAATTATACTAGCTGAATTTATTAATTCTGTAGTAGCAATTTTAGGCAACTACTTATTCACAATTTTATTAATTTTAGGATGCGCCAGCGACTAGTTATTTGAAAAATGAAGCGTACAACAAAAGTGATTGGACAGAAAGTTGAGGTTAGAAACTAATAGCTGTATGGCAACACGAGCACTGTGATTTTGCTGATGAATGTTATTAGGCGTAATTGTGAAGAAAGTGTTCTCTAATAATACAGTTTAAAAAGACAAAAAAAAATTATATGTAGGAATGAGTCCAAGAGCCAATCAATAAATTGCGAGCTTGGCAAGTGTATCAAAAACATTAACAAACCCCATTTGTTGCGACGTTAAAATGTAAATCTTTTTTTTTTCTTTTTG